GCTTCGGGATTCGAGCAGCCAAAGGCTGACTGTGTCAGGGGATGTGAAGTTCCTCGAGTCCGTGTACTAAAAAGAATGGAAGCAGCAGCAGCAGAAGCTTCCCACTACACCATTCAATGGGGTGCAGCGACCTTCAAGGCATGTGGAAGTCTCTATGTCAGAGGAAGAGATCTTTGGAGTGACTGAGGATGGGGAAGAACCTGAGGTGGAGGAGCAGCAGCAGCAGCAGCAGCAGCAGCCGCCACAGCAGCAGCAAGGTGCTCCACGAGTGCCCCACACCTGCCTGAGCGTCCTAGAAGGGATGTGCGCACTCCTACCAGGCTCTTGGTGTATGTGGATGACATCCTTCTCTTCTCTGAGTTGTCTGCAATGATTGACCGCGTGGAGGAGATGCTGGAGATACAATTCAAGTGTTCTAAGATGGAAGATATAAAGTACTACCTGGGGATGCATGTGGAGAGGGACCTTGACAAGGGAGTGTTGAGGTTGCACCAGAGGAAGTACTGTGAGGGGCTGGCCGAGAAGTATGGGCTGCAAGATGGAGGAAAGCAAGCAACTGTACTGCCTTCAGGGTTCACTGCGGAGCCATGTGCTGATGAGGAGGTGGTGGGTGAGAGTGACAGGAAGCTGTTTCATTCCATGGTTGAGGCACTAAACTACATGGCAAACCACACACGGCCAGACATTGCCTTTGCTACATCCAGGCTTGCTAGTGTGGTCTCTCGCCCCAGCCATGAGCAGCTGGAAGCGGCCAAGAGGTTGGTCCGCTATGTGAGTGCTACAGCATCAGTGGGCTTGGAGTACAGTGCTATGCGTCAGAGGCCACGGCGAGGTGCTGCTGATTTGGCCAAGGGGAACATGCTCTTGACTTGCTACACCAATGTTAGCTTCAACTCTGTGAAGGCGGATGGCATCGGCATTGGAGGCTATGTGTGCGTGTTTGGTGGTGGTGCAGTGAGCTGGCGATGAAGAAGCAGAATGAGGTGGGGCTGTCCTCATGCGAGATTGAGTACATGGCCCTTCATTATGGGGCAAAGGGAGTAGTGCGGCTGAGGCGTCTTTCGGAGGAGATCGAAGTGTGTCAGAAGGAGCCGTCTGTCATATTCTGTGACAACATGTCAGCTGTGAAGCGGCCCATGAATGATTGTCTTCATGGGCTGACAAAGCACATTAGGCCTAAGTGGCACTGGGTGAGGAGGCCCTTGGACAAGGAGTTGTGGCTGGAGATTGCAAAGACCCAGCAGCAGGCGGCTGGCATTTTCACCAAGCGCCTTGCAGAAATTGAGCATTGGAAGGGGATGAAACTTGCTGGAATGAGTGTGCATTGAGGGTGCATGCATGAGCTGAGGCATGTGGGATGATGGTTGGCAGCCAGAGGGGGAGTTTGTTGTGTGATGCAATCATATGCATCTACGTCTGTCTACCTCCCATCCTATCTTTTATCTTGCATGCGTGGTGTGCAGGTGCGTAAGACTTTGCGATTGGTGTGGTTTGGACTTTGTGAGTGTGTGTGAATTTCATTTTGCTTGAACAGATATCTGGATTAACTTCTCTGTTCAAGAGCTATCTGACAAACCGAGAATCGCCGCGATCAGAGCAAGAACGAGAAAGTTACGAATGGTTGAAGTTCGTATGCTTTTGGTATTTTGTTGCGGCGACTATGGGAGGGGTAACTTTTTATGGGGTATAGACCATTGGGGTTGGGAAAACTCATCACCATCACTGTAACTGCTGCCAAGTGGTTGGGAGAAACCAAACCAGGTTGGCAAGTGTGGCCAAGTTGGGTGAGGTGGATGGCATGAGTTGGGAAAGTGACAAATGACAAAATGGGGTTCCTATAGGGAGGAAATCTTTTATGCTGATGGGGTTTCCTTGGTTGGTGACTCCTTAGGGACCTTTCCTCTCGTCCGCCTCATTCCCTCCTGCTTGGTTTCTTGCTTCTCTAATTCCTTTTGTGACTTTTTGGTTGAACAATTGAGTTTGAGTTAAGTTTCAGCTCCACCATACCCCCAAGCGCACCGAAATTTATAACTAGAGATATTCTTCACATTTTTCTGCAATTCAAAATTGGAATTGTAGGCACAGCCTAGTGCTACAACATATCCGAATTGGTAAAGTTTTAACAGTGAACTCTTTGTCGACGGCGTTTCTTGTAAAGTCGGCATTTCTGTCTAGAATTTTAGTCCAACGATTTTGAGTTGTTTCGGCCCTTAAGCTTCCTAGACTCCGTCCTTAGTCTCTAACAGGCTACGTGGACGCCGTTGACGCCGGCGACAAGCAGAACCGGATGAGCACCGGTGGCTATGTATTTGTATTTGGAGGGGCCACCGTCTCCTGGTTGGGCCAACGCATCAAGTGCGCAATGCTCTCGTCGACCGAGTCGGAGAACGTCGCAGCCACGGAAGCCGGCAAGATGGAATGCCGACTTCGCTTCCTCCTTGCCGCGTTCCAGCTGCTGGACGCTGGGACACTGACCATCCTCCGTATGGACAACAAGTTGGCCATCACCGTTGCCGAGGGCTTCGGGCTGCAGAGCAATCTCAAGCACATGGAGCAGCGATATGCCTGGCTGCAGTAGATGGTGAAGCACGTGAAGTTTGTGCTGAAGTACATCCCAAACACCGAGCAGCCGGCCGACTTCCTGACAAAGGCGCTGCACTTTCCGGCCTTCAACCGGTGCTCCATCGCAATCGGCCAAGTGCGACTAGCCAACGTCGGCGACGGTGACGACTACGTACAGCAGTAGGTGTCGTGCCCTTCTGCACGGCTGGTGCGGTGACCGTCGTGCTGTGTGTTGGGTGCACGCTGACAACGACGAGTTTTCTTCGAAGAGTTTTTCCGTGTGAGGAGGGGGCCCAAGCGTGAACGTGGCAGGGGAGGTTCAACGGGAGTTGGCCCCGTCCTCGCGTGGCTGGAGCCAACTTCGTGGTCGGGTGTGCGGGAGGTGCAGCCGACCATCCGCAGTGGGCGACGCCGACTTGGGCGAGCAGGTCGATGGACTTGGTCGAACTGCACGGGGGTCATTGCAAAACCGCCAACAACGGGGAAGCCGGCAGCCGATTTCAACCGTGGTCAACGAAGGGAGTCGTCAACTTAGGGGCAGGGCACCGACTTGAGGGCGCCGACGTCGGAAGGACGCAAAAAATGAAAGAGAGAGACATTAGCATGTATTGAGATGAATTTGAGGGCAAAGGTGAGGAGGGGAGTGTAAGTACTGTGAAGGGGAGAGGACATGAAAGACAAGAACCCTAAACAAAGAAATGATACATGGAGTTCCTTAGTATTTTAGGATGGGTTATGCATCGTCTACCCTCGAGTGGATTTCTATTTTATGGCATGCTTGAAAGGAGTGTAGAAGAGAGGAAATAGAACTACAGAGCAAAGGCCTACGTATTTGCATAATGCATCAACACATAAGTGGGGTGGAGGTGAGGATTATGGAGGAGGAAGTGGGACGTAGAGACGACAAGGTAGGGGAGGTGGTTCAAGCACTCCATCTCCTAAAAAACACTTCTAATTTTTTGCCACCCTTGGTATGGCACCCCACCCTATCATACAGTGTCAATTGATTGGACGAGATGCCTCGTGCGTCGGTGTGCCATCGCTGGCATCGACCATCACTCAGCGAACGTGCAGCCTCTGGTGTGCGTGCAGGAAGGCGGTGAGGCGAGGACTATTGTAGGCAAAGGTGGAGTTATACTCTACATAGCGGCTTCTCAATGCCAGGGTTGTGTGGTCAACCATCAGCATCACCTGCGTCACATCGACCATCAGGGATACTGAGGTAGCACAAAAACTGAAAACGTTACGAGAGAGTTAACGTTAATAACTTAGTACAACAAAATCACAATAAAGAAGAGCTTGCCCGCCATATCTGAAACTTAAGATTGATGCTGTTCAGCTCCTTTAGCAGGTCAACTAGGAAGAACAAGAAGAATTGGAACAACTAGAACAGGGTGTAAAACTTTCTATTGTACTCATACATTAGGACAATGGCAGCGGGAAGAATGTCGGTAAACTACTCAATAGCTTCTCCGTGCGAAAGCCAGCAGATGTCATAAATTCCTTACATTTCGAGGTTGGTGCTTATCAGCACTTCGTGGAGCTTCATGAAGCATGTGTGATGAACCTGAAAACGCCCAGGATATCAGCGAAGGAACGCACCACCTTGGCGACGATGTTGAAGTCGGGCGTCATCAGTGCTGATGCCGCTAATTATCGACAGGTCGATATTGCAGCTCGCCAAGTGCATTAGCAGGACGGTTTCGAGCAAGGCAGCGTCTCACTTATCCACAGTGAGGTTGGCAAAATACTCTGTCACTACCGAGACACTACGCATAAACGTGACATACACAATCATGTGTTTGCCACGCCCTCTGTCGGTGCTCTCGTCCAACTGAAGGCCGACGTATGGGCTGGCGTGTATGTGCTGGAGCTACTTTGCCTTCAAGTACAAGACCATTGTCTCGACAAGTTGCTTGAATCCGTACTTGGGAGAGAAAAGAGAAACGTTAGAGATTCATAATTCACATAAAAAAGGCTTAGAAAACAGAGATGGTTGCTTCATGTTACAAGGGTCTTGTCTCCGAACTCAGCAATGAACGCTTGCTTCTTCAATTGGCATTCATGCTGCTCCTTTCTTCCCAGTACCGCCGTTTGTTTGATGTTGGCTTGGTGTTTCCTCATGGTTTGTTTTTGAATGTCAATGCCGCCTTCGCCACGAGCTCCATACTGCGTCTCTGGATCCACGTACACCATGCAAATCTTGCATCTCATGCAAGGATGCCACTCTGAGGTCTCGCTAATGATGAGCCATGAGAAGTACTGTTGCCGTTGCTCCTTCGCTTTCAACTGCATCTCCTACAGAGTGAGAAATCTCAGGCCGCCCTTCTCATCTCCACAACTCTCTGATGCATCACCTCAATCCGTTTGTCCTGCAAGAGAAGCAGTGGTAAGGCGCTTTAAGAAAGACAGCTTGGGTTGAATGTGTTTCGTTTTTCCTAGAAATCGTGGCGGACGAAAGGGGAAGCGAGTTTTGGACGGACAACGGGAAGTACCACTGACATGATGAACACCAGGGTTCCTAGGGGATGCATTGACAAATGCACGTGGGCCAGAGTGATAGTTGGGTTGTTGTTGTTGTTGTTGTTGTTGTTGTTGTTGTTGTTGTTGTTGTTGTTGTTGTTGTTGTTGTTGTTGTTGTTGTTGTTGTTGTTGTTGTTGTTGTTGTTGTTGTTGTTGTTGTTGTTGTTGTTGTTGTTGTTGTTGTTGTCGTTGTTCGTTGTCGTCGTTGTCGTCGTTGTCGTCGTTGTTGTCGTTGTCGTCGTTGTCGTCGTTGCTGTCGTTGTTATCGTTGCTGTCGTTGCTATCGTTGTTGTTGTTGTTGTTGTTGTTGTTGTTGTTGTTGTTGTTGTTGTTTTTGTTGTTGTTGTTGTTGTTGTTGTTTTTTTTTTTTTTTTTTTTTTACATGGCAACCAGCCATCTACGTCGCATTTTGCATTTTGTGTGGGTGCACATCTTCATTTTTGTTTTACGTGTGTTCTGTGCGCATTTGTCCTTGCATTCTGTGTACTTTGTTTTTATTCGTAAATGCATTTTGTTTATTCATTTTCTGTTGCGTGTTCAACGTTCTCAGACAACTCCCATGAAATGCTCCATTGAGGCTCCCATGAAGCACTCAAATGAAGGCCATATGGAGCTTAAATAAAGCTCTCATAGGACTCACATGCATGAAAGTCCCATGAGCCTCGAATATTTCATGCGAGGCTTATTTGACCGGGTGGTGTACCAATGGGTGCTCGGTTGTTTGACTGGTTAAGGAGGGTGCCTTGACTTTTGCGGAGAGTCACTCTACACCGAGAGCTGGACTGTGGGGAAAGGCATGGGTTCTAGGAAAAATCGTGGCAATCCTTGTGTGCTTGCTCGTGTTCTATCTACGCACACATTCACGGGGAGAATTGGCAAGAGTTTCACTAGCAAAAGTTCACAAGAATAATGGCAAAAAAGTTGGCAAATCTGACTACATCAAAACCAAGTCTGCTTAGCATGCAAGCAAGTCGACTTCTAGCATAGCAGCACTGGAAAATCCGCACCGCTCCAGCGCTGCAGAAAGGCGACTTGCCAACGCTGCAAGTCGACGGCGTGCCAACGCTGCAGCAAGGCGGCTGTCCACCGTTGCACCCGCAGATGACAGCAGCGTACCCACTTTGCAGGTGCTTGTAGTAAGTTGGTGCGACGTGCACCGTCACGTGCACAGCGCAGTTCCCAAGTCGGCCACGTGTGGTTGACTGCGCCTGATGAGCCACGTCGCCCTCGGGATAGCACTCTGAGGTCGGCTTTGCCAGAGTCCCCTGGGCGACGGCCGCGCACCCCGCAGAACCTTGCCGCTCTGGTTACTTGGTCGACGGGGAAACCCGCAAGTCGGTGCCAACTGGCGTGGCAGAGGTCGACCAACTGCTATACGTGCACCCGCCGACTTCACCAAATCGGCTACTCCCCAGGTCAACGATCCCTTCATCGGCCACCATGTTGTCTGCGGACTTTGCTAAGTCGGCAAACCATCCAGCCTCCAAGAACTGACGCACGTTTGACAAGCGGAAGCACAGTGTCCATTGGCAGCTCATGGCGCCAACCTGCTACCTGCGCGTTGGTCTAAATGTGCTGATGCTGCATGACGATAAGGAGGCCTCACTCAATTATCTTCTAACCCTCTACATGCTGGCTACACCCCATGTGACAGCCCGCCTGACCTGTGCAGCATTTAATGTTGGTAAGCCACCTTAGAATTCATGTAGTTTTACAAGCGTGTTTAGGGCTACAGATTCATAAAACACCTTGTGATAGCGGATTTGTATTTCTGTGGTACAGGTCATGGTTGAAAAGATGTTGGAGATGTTGTGGAAAAAATGCTAGGCTTGAGCATTTTCTCAAACACCTGTTCGGTTCGCCAAGAACGTGTTTTTTTTTTTTTTTTTTTTGGAAAAAAATGTTCAGCGCGAACACGTTCATGTTCGCCTAAAATGTTCGTGTTCGACTTGCTACTGAAGGCCGGGCCGCGTCAAGCATGAACACGTTTGTGTTCGAAGGGGCGTCGTCGCGTTGATGAACACAAATGTGTTCGTCGACGAAATGTCCCGAGACCAATTTTTAGGTCACGAGACTTGGTGTTTGAGCTTATTTTCTGAGCTCAAAGACTTCGCGCCCTTAGCGCCAGCACCATTACGCTTACTAGGAGGAATATGAGCATTGAAACCCCATCAATAAGTAGTTTAGAGTACATTGCCTAGAAATAGGATAGATGAAACATATAGAAGCATAGGTTTATTTACATAACAAGCGTGAATGGTTAGGAAAGTTCCTTCCACATATAGTACTTGAAATCCGTCCGTGGGATTAGATATAGGGAGGTGGTACACTGGGTTAACGTCGCATTAGTACCCATTGGTGGCATTCACGGTCACTAACTTGAGCATTTGAGGGGGTTAAGGTTTGTTTAGCCGTTTAGGGTTATGGCTTCCTACCAACAATTACCAGCAGACAGAGCTGTAGTACGTGATCAAAGCGGTGCTCCTACGTCTCCAGTACGACATATGCAGGGGCGAGTAGGTGACGATCATGCGACGGCCGGTGCTTGTTTTGTTGGGTTCTGTCCGCGCCAGTGCCGAGATCACGTCACTCGTTACAACACTTTGGAGCTCGACCCCATCCTTCGGGGCAGACGCGTACTACCTTCACTAATACTAATAGTGAAGAGGAGGGTGACGACGAGGAGGATGAGGAGGAGGAGGGGAGCGAGTATGATAGTGAGCAGGAGTGGCAACCCGAGATGCATGGCGAGGAGGGTGGCAGTGGGGATGGGGGGGGGGAGATAAAGACAACGAGATGGATGGGTTGGAGCTAGAAAGGCAGGAGGGGGTGGGCGATGGAGGAGGGGTAGCGGAGGCGGCCTCAAAGCATGGTGGTGGAGGAGGTGGGCGCGTGAGGGAGAAGGTGGGGAGAAAGGGACCGTCCATTAGGGAGCCACAAGCCGAGGGTGGGGTTGGGAAGTCGAGGCGGGAGAAGAGAGCCTCAAAGTTGAGACCGAGAGCCTATCCATGCACCTTCACAGGGGAGATCTTGGGACAGGGTGTGGCTGCACCTGAGTGTGTTGACGAGTCGTGAAGGGGCGAAAGTGGTAAGGGGAATGGCAAGGGGAAGAAGAGATTGGGGTGGTAAGTTCAAATGTTCGATCCTATCGGGGCTGACCAGAAGCGGCAGTGCAAGATTTGTACTCATAAGATTTCATGGAAGGGGTCCACTCCAACACCGGACGAGCGTCATTTCGAGAGTTGGCACACATTTCACATGGACGTATGGTATCACCGTTACCACCATCTACACCTCTTGCTGCCTGGCGAGACGTTTCCACGAGGGGGCTACAAGGGGGTGCCGGAAGGGGGGGGGGGGGGGGGGGGGGGGGGAAGGGGGAAGGGGTTAGGCTAGATCGAACGCTACATGACAACCAAGCTCTCCAGGGTTGAATTGCGGCAGGCGATTGCCAAGCTGGTGGTCACCTACAACCTTCCCTTCCGCGTTGTGGAGGCCGAGGCGGTGAGTGTCTAATGACTGTGATGGATGGTATAGATGGTATGGAATGGATGGTATGGATTGTATAGATGGTATGGTATGGATAGGTATGGATGGTATGGATGGTATGGTATGGGATGGATGGTATGGATGTTATAGATGGTTTGGATGGTATTGTATGGCCAAGAATGGATGGTACAGAAGGTATAGATGTTCTAGATGGTGTGGATGGTATAGATGGTGTGGATGGTATGGATGGTGTGGATGGTATGGATGTGTGGATGGTATGGATGTTATTATAGCTGATATGGTATGGATGGCATGTATCGTTGTGAGGGGAATCGAGTGCCATTCCATTTCCAAACCATCCCCCAAACCCTATTAAACTATCTCACATTGAATGTGTGCCTTCCCCTCCAGTTTCGCGAGCTGCTAACGCTATGCAACATCCACTGCGGGGAGAAGAACTTCATCCCTACGCACTAGACTGTTGCACGCGACACCGTTGTGTTTGCTGTGGCTGCTCTACAGGCGGCCATTGCGGAGCTGCTGGCAAGGGAGGAGTTGGGGTGCAAGATTGTTAAAGTGGGTCTTAGAAGAGCCATGGCGGCCGATAGAAAACAAAAAGCAGAGCGAACACTAGCCTACTCCAACAAAGATGTCCTAGAGCATCGACATGTAGACGGCGCCCAACGGCAAGGCATGGCTAGTGGTTACGGGTCATTGGATAGACGACTCGTTTCAATTGCGGATGGTAGTGCTAGAGTTTCGCAAGATGCACGGGTGTCATGGGAGCTAGGACATGGCGAAGGTGGTGGAGATGGTTGTGCAGTGGGGGTTGCAAGGGCGCTGTCTTGGTCTTACGATTGACAACGCCTCGAGCAACATTGCCGCCTTCACGTGCTTGTCGGAGGAGGGTGCTGGTCAGGGATTCTTCAACTCTCACAAGCACTTCAGGGGCTAGATATGCGTTGAAGCAATGTCCATGTGTGTTCAAGTCCCCAACCTCTTGCCACTGCTCTTGCGTTCCACAAGTGCTTGTCACACGTGATCAACCTTGAAGTGCATTCGGCACTGTCCGTGAAGACCATCCACGAGGTGCTGATGGTGAGAGAGATGGCGTCATGGATAGGTTTTTCGCCACAACGCTCGGGGGCGTTCTTGGCGCTACAGCCAGGAAACAACAAACCGGCATTGAACCTGGTGCAGGACAGTCCTGTGTGTTGGGGCTCGTCGCATGACATGGTCGACCACACCCTCGTTCTGTGTAGGCCCATCACATTCTTCTTTGCTGAGACCCAGGTAAAGCATGCATGTATGGCTTAGGGACTATGCCTGCAATGGGTTACGCATCACTTATTGCGTTTGGAAAATCTTGTATGATGTTTTCCCTCAAATTGCTCACCAAACCCCGAAACATCTTCCCACTAGCACCCACCACGCCACCCCATGACCCGGACAGGGCACGTTGCGTGCGGAGCGGGACAAGATGGATAGTCTGCGTCTGACCGACGAGTAGGAGATCTTGGAGGCCGTGAAGTCCTTTCTCAGCCCCTTCAACAAGGACTTCAAGGCAGTTGAGGGGACGGCATACCCGACAATGGTGGTGCCGTACTACAACGATCTGATCGATGCCATGGAGTCACGTCTTGCCATGGGGCCATCTGAGATGTTGTATCCGTTGAAGAAATACGCGTACATCATCACCAACGAGTATAGATCGCCACCTTCCTGAATCCATCCATGAAGTCGGCATGGTTCGATGAAGATCACTAGGAGAAGCTGCATCCAGAGACCCCCAGGAGGGAGGCCCTGCGTTACGCGTCCGGCGATGTCATTGCGCCTGTCGCAGGCCCAGAGTTAGCCATTGAGGGCGAGGGGGCGGAGGACGACAAGGAGGATGATGAGGAGGGGGGCGCTGTTGGTGGGGGACGTGGTGTTGTTGGTAGCAGCCCTACTGTAGAATAGAAGTGTTTTGCGTGCATGAGTTACACTCTCATAGGATCTTGTTGTGTTGTGCATGTGACTGTTCTTGCCATTTAGAACATCAGTTGTTGAACAAGCATAAACATCTCATGATATATTTATTGCTCGTACACTACATCTACACCAAAACAGCCGTAACCTCCCTACCTAACATCAGCTGAGGCCAAATTCACTGTATGTTCTACCTTGTACATTCAAGAAGGAACAATTGAACTATTACAGTCCCAGGGCGAACACGAACACATATTTGCTTCGAACACGTTCGTGTTCGCCTCCGACACCAAGGTGTTCACTTGTGAAGGCGAATGCCTTGGTGGGCTTAAAGCATTTGGCAAACTCGAACGTGTTTGCCACGCCGAACAGTGGTGTTCGTCTGATGACGAACGTGAAGCCTACTAAAGGCTTTGATGGACGCATTTTGGGCTCATATGGGGAGTGGGACATTAACGATGGAGGAGTCGCTTGAGCGGTCTGATAGGGAGTTGACAAGGGTGGCATACCAATTTCGAAAATGGCAAGCTGGTAAAAACAGAGGCATTCAGTGAGTGGAAGGGAACGAATGAGGTGGAGCATGGAAGCGCGCGAGGCATGACGCCCCACGTGACACAGGTACAACAATTGTACACGGAATTGCATGCATACGAGTTTGATGTCATACCAAACAGTGTTCCTTGTGTAGTGGAGGAGGTTCATGTAATCGAAGACATGACCGAACCATCTTCTCCTAATGGGCACCTTGGATTATTTGAGGTTGGGGGGCTCGACGCTAGTCCTGCTGGAGAGGAGATGGGTGGACCATGTGCACCGAGCGAGGATGAGTATGCTGCTGGGACTGACATGGGGGGTCAGCTCGTAGAGAGAGCCACGGGGGAGGACGTTATGGATGAAATCCATCACGATCATGCGCAAGCGGAGCGTCTAGAGGAGTCATTCAGATACAATAATGTGTTGTCTCTGTGGTTGTTTTGGCTTGCAATATCGATCATGATATCGTATTCATGTTCTTCAATGTTTCTATATATATTTAAATTCGTGTAATCCCTTCAAAGTGCGTACTCTTCATAAATGTTGCAAGCCATTGGGACCAACCTAATGCAAAAGCATCGTCGGCCACAAAGATGGCCGACTCCTGCGATGAGTGACCATTTTTCCAAAGACGTGGTTTGCTTTCTTGATCCAATGGCAATACTTTCGTTTCTTTTGTGGCTGGGCTTTAGTTGGATGCGTCAAGTCTGGTCGTGAAGGTCACATGCAATTTGAGTCCTGGAAACGGTCATGCGCGTGTCTATGGAGGTTGTGGTTGTGCAATGTGTGCTATTCAAAAGAGGAGTTATGGTCAACCAATCGGGTTAGGTTTGACTTACCTTCTACTAAGCGTGGTCCAAAAAGTCCGCCTTTGATGCTAAAAATGGTGGGGTCATTTGCACTTGGATTAGGGTATCAGCGAACGTGGGAGGTGTGTCGCAACCTTGGGATTCCCAGGCCAGGACATGGGACACGCTTTAGATGTACGGACGGGGAAAATGGTTTATTGAGTGTGATTATTGAGGTGGCAAGGTGGGACATGGAGCTCGTGCGTGCGAGCATGTTGCTGCATCCAGTTTCGGCTACGTGGTTTTGTGTAAGTGGACAGTGGTTATAGGTGTGTGAGGCACACTGGTGCACCGTGTCGTTCATGCATAGGGATACTAGAAGAATTACACATCTTAACAACAAGAAGATAGGGCAAGACACGAGGGCATCAGTCATTTTGATGTGAATGGCATCATCACAGATGAGGGTAGTGGCTTCAAGAGTGAGGCGCGTAAGAGAGGGCTGAGACACCAGATAAACTGGGGGCATAAATGTAGTACAGAGATGAGTAGTTAGATCGGAGGTACAGGATGCAACGAGGAAGATGGGGTCTCTAGATGGGGCTACTACATGCGAGGATCTTTACTTAATTAAAGTAGAAAATTTTGGGTCATGGTTGAGGTTGCATTCGCCACGAGGGTCTTGTAGAGACAGTATGTCTGTTGCATTCTTTCACTTTCAGAGATATAGAGGTAGCAGATGTGAAATGATTGTGCCTTGAGCTGCAGAAAGTGGTGCTGGAGCCTTATCACACTGAAGTACATGTCGACATTGAGGTGGGGGAAGCATCGCAGTCGGATTATATGCGTGCATCTCGAGCACACGGGTTCGGAGGCAGTGCAGAAAGGATACATGATGGTACAAATGATGGAGCAATCACGATCGAAATGCAGTGGGTGGAGGTGGAGGTTATGTGAGGCTATGGTGCGCACCCCATACATAATATTCGACCATCTTTGCATGCATCATTGGTGCTTGTGCAGGCTTGGGGGGCAGGGCGGCCGCGTGCGCATTACCTCAACGACATCACTGACGGGCAAGGTAAATACACAAGGTGGAGTCAGCTCTCCTCTCACTCCCCACCCCATCTCTCCAGCCTCTAGACTCAACCCTCTTTCCCTACAACCATCAACCTTTCATTCTACTATTATCTAAGCACATCCATTATGCCACCAAAACTTGTGTCAAATTCAATGTTGTGCATGTCATTTCCATCCCAATCAATATCGAATCTAACATATTATCATCTGACATTGTAACATGCATCTATCATAAAAGTTTTGGTTAGAGATAGGCACCCAAACAATGTTTGGGTGCACAACTAGGGTTAACGCTAGTTGGGGGTTGGATCCTAATCTTGGTCCAATAATTGGCCCCCAA